AGTATACGTCGACTCGTAAGTAAGCATTTATAGGCATGGGTACGAATTGTATCATGTTGTACCTGTCTATAATATTATATAGGTATCGACACACGAGAAGGCTCTTTTGGTGCACCTGATTATTATCTGAAATTATTGTATAAATAATCGCTGGTTATATCAATTACAATATATTTGTATATAACAATTACAATATATTTGTATGTAACGTAGATGAAACTATTAGTAGGTTATGGTTCATCATCATCATCATTACAGCCCTTTACAAGTCCGCTGCTGAACATAGGCCTCCCCCAAGTAATGCCATAAAGCACGGTCCTGAGCCACCCGCATCCATCGACTTCCTGCATGTCTTACCAGGTCATCACTCCATCTAGTGGGCGGTCGCCCTACACTTCGCCTACCGTACGAGGCTGCCACTCGAGAACATTTATTCCCTAACGGTTGTCGGTTTTACGAGCTATATGGCCGGCCCATTGTCACTTCAGCTTACTAATCCGTTGGGCTATGTCGGTCACTCTAGTTCTACTGCGGATATCCTCATTTCTAAGTTTATCACGAAGAGAATCTCCGAGCATAGCCCTCTCCATAGCTCGCTGATCGACTTTGAGCGTCCTCATACGGTCAGCAGTGAAGGACCACGTCTCAGTTCCATATGTCATCACTGGCAACACGCACTGGTTGTACAACTTAGTTTTCAGGTTTTGAGGTACCTGACTAGAAGATGTGTCGTAATTTCCCGAACGCTGCCCAGCCGAATTGAATCCGTCGATTGACCTCTCGGTCGAAGTTGGACTTACCTAGCCGGAATATTTGTCCCAGGTAAACGTACTCGTCAACAACTTTGAGCTTAGTGCTCCCAACAACTACCGGCATAGGTGTAAAGATGTAAAAAAAATTATAAAATTGAAAATGTTTTATAAAAAAATATTAGTAATCTTATTAATTACCATAAATAATATTCCTTTTAACCACTCCTGGTAAGCTTAAAAATGCTTATGTTAGGAGTGGTTCACGACAGTAGTCAAATGGTGGATTCAAACCCACGACCTTTTGAGTTCGCGATCCGCGCCCTGCCATTAGGCTACTGTCGCTTTAGGTGTGACATGGACATTAAACATGATCTTTGTTTTGTCCATGTTCATCTTAAGACCTATCCGTTGGGAGGCACTATTGAGGTCATTGAGCATAGTGCTTAAGTCCTCCAGCGATCCTGCCATAAGGACTATATCGTCGGTAAATCGAAGGTGAGTGATGTACTCGCCATTGATGTTAATACCGTATCCTTTCCAGTCCAGTAGCTTGAAAACGTCTTCCAATGAAGCGGTGAAGAGTTTCGGGGATATAACGTCACCCTGTCTTACACCTTTCTGCAGTTGGATAGGTTTCGTACTCTGGTTCTGTACTCGGATAGCTATCGTAGCCCTACTGTACAAACACTTCAGCACTTCGATATACCGACAGTCAACTTGGAACCGCTGAAGAGACTGTAACACCGCCCAAATTTCGACGTAATCAAAGGCTTTCTCATAATCCACATACGCCAGGCAAAGTGGCAGATTGTACTCTTCGGACTTCTGTACAATTTGCCGAAGGGTATGTATGTGGTCTATGGTACTAAAGCCTTTTCGGAAACCGGCTTGATCGGGAGGCCGGAAGTCGTCGAGTTTGCGTGCGAGACGATTCGTAATGACTCTCGAAAACAGCACGTAGACGCGACTCAGAAGGGATATCGGTCTGTAGTTCTTCAAGAGGGCGTTGACACTTTTCTTGAAGAACAAGACCACCGCGCTTCTGTTCCACGCCTCCGGAGTAGTGCCACCATGGAGGACGGAATTAAAGAGCCTCTGAAGGACTTCAAGTACCGATTTTCCACCCGCATTCAGAAGCTCCGCTATAACTTCATGCTCACCCGGTGTCTTGCCGTTTTAAAGGTGCTGGAAAGCCATTCTAATCTCGCTCAGACTGACGTCCGGGATATCATCGGAATAGTGTCGGATAAGAGCCGCTCTTGGATCGTTACTCACACTTGCGTGTGGCTCCAACGATGATGTGTACAGCTGCTCACAGAAACTCTCAGTCTCACTCAGAATCTCAGGTGTCCCGAAAACGATGCTGCCACACTCAGTCTTCAGCTTTCACAGTTGGCTCTTACTGGCAGACAGATCTCTGGCAAATACTTTGGAGCCCTGGTTCAGCTCGATCGCTTCTTCAATACGAGCAGTATTAAATTTGCGTAGGTCTCGCCGCATGCATTTGGAGATCTGTCTGTTCAGTTGCCTGTATGCTGTCAAATCTGTTGACGATTGCAGCCTCATCTCCCGTCTAACAGCCATGAGATTAAGAGAGTGATCGGAGAGCTTTTGTGATCTTCTGCGGCCGGTCTTGCAGAACTTAGCTCCGACCGCATGGACAGTTTCCACGAGCTTGTCATTCATACAATCCACTGCATTGCAATCTTCAAGGCATTGTTTCGGGATTCTGGATTAGAGCACGAGGGGGACGGAGCGTTGACTTCATTAGACGAGACCTCGCCAACTTAACGTTTAGGTTCAGTGTGCCTCTATCCATTCGGTGATCGCTGCCAGTTTTCACCCCTGTGATCACTGAGACATCACTGAACAGTTGGCGTCTGGTCGTCATAATGAAGTAAATCTCATTTTTTGTCGAACCGTCGGGGCTCGACCAGGTCCACTTCCTGTGGGGCCGCTTCTGGAAGAAAGAGTTCATCATAAAGAGTCCCTCTTTCTTCATGAAGTCGGATAGCTGCTGGCCCCTACGGTTCCGTTGTCCTACTCCAAATTTCCCTAACTTCAGCTCACTGCTTTCTCATTTGCCTAGTTTTGCGTTGAAGTCTCCCATCAACACCGTGTAGTGGGTTTTGGAGGAATGCATGGCTCTAGAAATATCCTCATGCATTTCCTCCACCTCCTCATCGGGATGTGCCGAGGTTGGTGCGTAAATCTGTACCCCTTCAGCGAATACCGTTTGGTGATTCTGAGTATCAGGTACGCGACCCTCGTCGACACACTCCCAATCTTTATAACGTTGTTGACGAGAGACTTGTGGATGATAAATCCGACACCTCCTTGGGACAGATGGTCGACCTCCGGGTGATAGAACAAGTTGCCGGACTCTAGGATTACCGTGTCCTCCCCCTCTCTTCGGACCTCGGATAACCCAATAATATGCCAGCGCAACTTGTCTACCTCTTCTTCCTACTCCAGTATCTATTCGTCAGTCCTCAGGGTGCGTGCGTTATATGTTGCCAGGTCGAGTCGTCGTGGGTGGCAACCGAACCTCCACCAGAGATTCTTAGCACTCCCTGCCCCGCCGTTACCATGGTCGCCGCCGTAGCCAGATATAGCGGGGCCGCCGGGGACTGGAGGCCGTTTGTTTGCGTCGTTACTGCTGGGGGATATTTGCCATAGTTGCCACGCTTGGCGAGCGGGTTGGCAACCGCAGTTTTTTATTATATCATTGCTGTTATCAGGAAGATGCTGCTACCCATCTCCTGCTTGTCTCCCTCTGTCGCCTCTTACGACACCCACGAGAAGATATGGGGTAGTGGATATTCTCAACCGCCACTACACGGCACGGTTATGGTTACACACACACACACACACACACACACACACAAAAACCCATATATATATATATATATATGTGTTTATAATTTATCATGGAGTATCGAATTCGTATTAATTTCGATATGTTTTAAAATGTTGCATTAATCGACAACACATTAAGCAACAAAAGAAGCTAAAGAAATATCAATGTCTCGTTGTCGTTTTTTTGTTTCCTTCTCCAACCGTCTAGTTATACTATTTTGAGCCTTATAGTAATACATTATACAAAACATGACGGTATATCGGTATTCACCCATTGGTGGCCAAAATCAAACAAAAAACGTTTTTAACGAAAACTATTTGTTTTGTTAATCTGGGCAGGACTAGCAAACATAAAATGAAACCATTTTTTTTTAATTTTTTATACTTTTGAGTACAACGGCCACTTATATGTGAAATTTTCTGCAGCATGACTTTTCAAAGCAGAGTGTTTTTAAACACTTCTTGCATCCCCATCAGACCCTCGCATGGCAAATGACGCACCGTAATTGCTTTTCGAGCTTCTTTGGGTAGTGGCCTGAGCTATCTTGAGGCAGTCCTTTCACCAAAAAAGAAGATGGTCTGCCTCTTTTTAGAGTTTCTTGTCGCAAATAGTATCTGGCATGTAAACGCCAAGCGTTTGAAACGGCCATGTCCAACAAGTATGTAAATAAAACTCACTTTTTGCCAGGAATCCCGATTCTGTATAATGATATGGACTGATCAAGCTCATCGACTCCACCCATACCTATATTGTACTTTTCAAATAAAAGCGGAATCCTTACACCGGTTTTCTCTCTTATTTCTGGGCACCGTCTTTTTACCGTGCTCATTGGTTCAAAGTAATTATAGTTAGTAGTACAAATACGCCCCATTGATTGAATTTGGTCATCAGTATGTCGGCTAGGGATCTAATTTTGAACATTTTATCTCTGAAATTTGATTCTTCATCATTATTCACAAGATGAAAATATATTTTTGTGTCACGAAATTTATTCCTCGACATAGCTCTTGAAACTAGCGCAACTCTGACGTCCTCGTCCATCTCATTTTTAAGTCTGGTAAATCGAGTTGAAAAGAGTGTCTATTGTTTTGATTAGCGTACATAATACTATTAGATAATATGAGATGTAATACTTCTTCATCCAGTATTTTTTTAAAAATCTGTACAGGATTTTGGTCTTTCAGCCGTTCCTTTATAGCATTGTTATCTGCACTAGATGTATGCTGATGGCCAAAAGTATAGGATGCTGAACATTTACTCCAGGCTGGAGCTTACTACCACTGCTGAATGTTAGACTTCCCACGAACTCCTTTTACGGTCAATGATTCTTCGTCATTGACATCACATAACCATAGTCGGTTGAAAAAGTACCTTCATCGCGTACCAACCTTAATATTTTCCGGCACATCTCGTGGCAATGTATATATCACCATATCTTCATCAAACCCTTGATCTTCGGCAGTCACGACACTGGAATCAGGTGTTATTATCGCCAAATCATATTCACGGTCATCATCACTATCTGATGTGACTGCTGCAATTGCTTCCTCAAGTCCTATAAACCTATTTGTACCGAAAAACATCTTGCGACTCATTGTTGGTAAACTGAAATCAAGTGGTATTTTTGTCTATTGAAGTAACCAGTGTACTCAACTGAGTCTATTTCATCTAAATTTAGTAGTAAACAATAACTGTTTCTAATTTGTAGCTAACATTATAGACTATACTATATCTTATCACAATTATTATAGAAAACAACATTTACACAAATAATAATAATAAAATATAATAAAAATACTACTCACTTCCAGGCTAGTCCAATAACATGAAAACCGGTTGCTCCAAACGACATATATTTTAGAAATATCCTCAATTTGCACAACTCAAAAAAAATATGAGTCTACCCTCTATTTCATTTATTAAAATAAAAACTAATAAACCTTCACAGATTTAGTTAATTAATTTTTAAACAACTGTACTCGTTTGTGTGTGTGTTCATCACGATACTGTTTAAAAATATCGATACGATATATATCGATATAGTTTTTCACTTGTCCATCCCTACTCGTCGCTATTGCCACATGAGTATATAAACGGAAAATTGCTAGCAGCTAGCCGGACACGCGAGGAGCCCCGTTTGCGCGCCGATCACCCGCCAGCGTCTGCTTCACCCCTTTAAAACATACGTGAATACGATCCCATTTCGTCTTAACAAAAAATGTGACATTCTTTGATAACGACATGTTGAAAGATATATATCCGAAATGTATACCATTCAACCCAAGTGGTCTAAGGTCCTAAACTGTACGAACTCATTCCATCAACAAACCGGGTGTTCATACATTAAGTGACAACTCCGAGATTCAATAACTTGGAGATCGCGTAGTGCTGTCATTATTAATAAAAAATATTCACGTTATAAATATTGCATTGAAGGGTATTTTTCAATAAATATAAAAGCATTGCATAACGTGTCGTACTACAATGGATATAGTTAACAGACATCATAGTCAATATCAATATTAAATATAAGCAAAATTCATATCCACACAAATTTTGATTATTGTATATCTTTAAGCACATAGTTAACCAAAGTAGACAATAAGTAATAATTATTGTTTTTATTAATATTTTATTATTAAAAGTATCTGACAAATATACAATATTTAAAAAATCTAATTAAAAAGAGCTAAAACTAATAACTTAAAATATCATACAGTCCTAGTACACGTGGTACCGTGCCAGATAATTAAAATAACTGCTTTGAAACAACAATATGCAAGCATTACACATCGAAATGAGTAAATATAATTCTAATTTAATTTGAACTATCTAGTTTACTAAAAAGGAAACAGCATTCAACAAATAAAACGTTGGAACCAACTTCTCTGTCTTAAAGAAGACCATGTTCTTGATCTTATTTCTTTAATGGTTTGGAATACCAATATTAAATTAAATATAAACAAAATTCATATCCACACAAGTTTAGAATTTCATATCTTTAAGCACATAACCGAAATAAATAAGTAATAATTATTTTTTATTAATATTTTATTATTAAAAGTAACATTTAAATAACATGACAATGAAAAATATACAATATGTAAAAACGATATTTAAAAAATAAGTCCTATTCCGCGTGGTATCGTGCTAAATTTTATTAAAATAACCATTTTAAAGCAACAATATTCAAGTACATATCGAAGTTACATATCGAAATCTATAATCATAATTCAAAATTCTAGCTTAATTTGAACTATATTATATTCGTTGACGCCTCCTCTGTGTTTGTATACTATGTAGTCATGAATGAAAAAGTCGAATCACACGAATTTTTAACTTCCGGGGAAAAATACGATTTTTACTGCGTGAATTGTGAATTTTTCGTGCTGAATCAGCGAGTCGCATGTTCAAATTAAAAAGTTTAAAATTGTTTTTTAAGTGAGAGTAATGGATTTTATTATCAGCACAAGATGAAAACTTATTGAAAGACTCGTCAAGGTTTTGGACGATTGCAATTTATATAATTTTTGCATTTAAATAACTTGTAGGGTAGATTAATCATAACGCGAAATGTGAAATCTATACATAAGACAGATTTTTTAATGTGTATATTGTATATATATATACATATTAAAAAAATAAACTTAATATGTATATTGTATTTATATATTATTATACGTATATTTTATATGTATTTAAATAATCTGTAGGGTAGATTTATAAAACTCAATATATGAATTCTAAGTATGAAACAAAACGAGCGTCTGTACATACTTTTTCAGTCAAATTAATGTGTATGTTGTCTATTTTGCTTTTATGTTGGCTATGTTGTATATGGATAGTTGTTTCGAAAATTTGAAAGTTGAAGAATGCGGCTTAAGAATGGGTGAGTTAACCGTCAAATGTCTTTTGTACGCCAATGATCAAGTCATATTTGCGTCGTCGGTGCAAATGATGGTTACATTAATGAACAGGTAAACACACACAGGTAAACAGGTGAACATTATAAGAAAAGGGAATGAAAGTGAATGGAAGTAAGACGAAAGTTACGTTTTTTGAAAGAGAAGAAAGTAAAACTATATGTGAAATAAGAATAGAAGGGAAGGTAGCAAGTACATGAGTGTATATTTGGGATGTGTATTCAGCAGGGATGGGAGGACTCTATTGCGAAAAGTTAGAATGTGTCAAAAAAGGCACGTATGGCAATTCACAATGCCGTATTAGTCCTTACTTTAACCTATGTTAGTGAAAGTTGGGTGTGGCAGAAGAAGCACGAGAGAAGAATAAATGCAGTAGAAATGCGGTCGCTAAGGAGTATGTTAGGGCTGAATCTGAGTGACAGGGTGAGAAAATGTGTGATAAAAGAAGAGTGTGACTTGCAAGATGATGCTGTGACCAGTTAAGAATGGAATGCTTCGGTGGTTTGGTCATGTAGAAAGAATGAATGAAGAAAGACTGACAAGCAAACATATGTTGCAAAAGGAAATGGATGAGTCGGAAAGAAACGCCCTAGGTGAAAGTTTAACGACCAAATTGGTGATATATTAAAAATGAGCCAAATTAAGAGTACTCTTAACTGACGAGCATGTACGCGTAGGTATATGGAGGAAACGAAAGAGGTATGTTATCGTGCTAAATGGAAGTCTGTAGTTCCTGCCTACCCCTCTGGGTGACAGGCGTTAGTGTTTATGTTCATGTTTATTTTTTTTTATAGGATGGGGTGACAAACGAGCACACAGTCCACCTGATGGTAAGTGGTTGCTGCGGCCCATAGACATCTACATCTATCTTCCATTACAAATCAAAATGCAGATGCGTTGTCACCCGTGAGGACTGAGATGGAATGCCTCATTTTCAGTAAAAAGGGTCTCCGGTTCTCTACACTCACCATACGAAATACAGCAGCATTAAGCTACTATTTCACGCTGGTATTCTGTGAGAGCGTGGTCCTTCCCGGTCGAGCCGACCCATTCGTGCTACAACTATACTACTAATATAATTGCAGCATGGCTCTACCACGTAAAAAATTTATGTAATATGTATATTGATTTTAAATTGATTTATTTGTTAAAAATGTTATCCTTTACAGTTAATGTATTCAATCGAATTCTATTTTATACGAATCGTACTGTTTCAGTTTCCCGATGCTAGGAAAAACCATTTATCATGAATAATAATTGATTACATAGATTTTCTATAAATTTTCTTGTCATCATTTAAAGGCAGCATTGCCTCCCGCTCCCAAGGATGCGTGGGTCTGCCCGACCACTGAATCTCTACCATCTCCATATTGTCGCGTATCTGCCAGTTTCAACTTAGAGCCAATAAAAAATTGTAACAAAGTCAATTCCTAAATTATACTACTTCCGTCGTGTATTAAAAGTGTTTTTTTTAATTACGAGGTCTTCATTACGAGGTCCAATATAACATTGGTAGCAACGGTGGGATTTAAAAGAAATAAAAATTCTTAAGATCGCCTCAATTCAGAAAAAATTAAATAAAAGAAATATTATACCTACGTGTGATTGTGATAGTAAAAAGTCCTAAATGCCAATCTCACCTCCATGCCGCTATGTCCCTGTTCAACACCACTGTATCCTGCTGGTCTTGTTTGACCCTCACGTGCCTTGTTGGGCATACTCCGAAGATCTATCACTCACCTTTGGTGATCTCGCCTGGTTACGAAATGATTCATGTTGCCGACATAGTCGGAGTGTTATTAGTATAAGTACATTCATTCTACATCGAAGCTATTCGTGTTGTGAGAATAGTGTTAGTGATTTAACCTATAAAGTGTCATCGCATGATTCCAATTTAATTTGAGTTTCAAAGTATTGGACTCTGTAAATTCAATAAAATATTTATCTTTCCATTGTAATATTTCTTCTACCATTCAGTTCCGAGAATAGTGCAACATTACCTTTTAATCGCAACTCCGTATTTCACGCGTTATCTTTGTTTTAACTACCTAACTCGTTATGCCTAAAGACGAGCCTAGTGCCATGTCTAAAGAAATAAAATAAATCCACATGAACTGTATGAAAAATTCATTAACAAATTTGACGGAAACCGCAAAAAACTTAATGGGTTTTTAAATAATTACAGAAGTGGAATAAGCTATAGAGTGATAATATTCCACACCTCAATTCTGTAAAATACCAATCTCTCTCTAACCCTCTAACCCTCGACCATCTTAATATCCAACTACTCTCTGATTCCCTAGACCTTGACGATGAACTTCCTTCTGTAGACCTCTTGGAAAACGATGCTTACCACCATTGATCAACGATCCTCTTACACTGACCACATGTGACGTATCCCCAGATCTCACACCACATCCTTCTCGTGACGATAATTATAGAAAATTTCTGAAAACAAAGAGCAACAATAGTAGATTTAATAGTAACGCCAACATTGTAGAATATAACGAAAGAATCATACCTACCTCCATCGATCTCGATGACTACAACCCTCTCGTAGAAGAAATCCTATGATACCTCGAAAACTCTAAACAGCTCTTAGATAGAGAAACAACTCTTTACTCCTTCATCTCATTCGATCACGAGGGAAAATCAATATATCTGGGGGCACG